CCATCCCACACTCATACATGTAGCATATAGCCAATCATGCATCATCCATCCCACACTCATACATGTAGCATATAGCCAATCATGCACCATCCATCCCACACTCATACATGTAGAATATAGCCAATCATACATCATCCATCCCACACTCATACATGTAGCATATTGCAAATCATGCACCATCCATCCCACACTCATACATGTAGCATATAGCCAATCATGCACCATCCATCCCACACTCATACATGTAGAATATAGCCAATCATGCACCATCCATCCCACACTCATACATGTAGCATATAGCCAATCATGCACCATCCATCCCACACTCATACATGTAGCATATAGCCAATCATACATCATCCATCCCACACTCATACCTGTAGCATATAGCCAATCGTGCACCATCCATCCCACACTCATACATGTAGCATATAGCCAATCATGCGCCATCCATCCCACACTCATACATGTAGAATATAGCCAATCATGCACCATCCATCCCACACTCATACATGTACCATATAGCCAATCATGCATCATCCATCCCACACTCATACATGTAGAATATAGCCAATCATGAACCATCCATCCCACACTCATACATGTAGCATATAGCCAATCATGAACCATCCATCCCACACTCATACATGTAGAATATAGCCAATCATGCACCATCCATCCCACACTCATACCTGTAGCATATAGCCAATCATGCATCATCCATCCCACACTCATACATGTAGCATATAGCCAATCATGCACCATCCATCCCACACTCATACATGTAGAATATAGCCAATCATGCATCATCCATCCCACACTCATACATGTAGAATATAGCCAATCATGCACCATCCATCCCACACTCATACCTGTAGCATATAGCCAATCATGCATCATCCATCCAACACTCATACATGTAGCATATAGCCAATCATGCACCATCCATCCCACACTCATACATGTAGAATATAGCCAATCATGCATCATCCATGTAGCATATAGCCAATCATGCACCATCCATCCCACACTCATACATGTAGAATATAGCCAACCATGCACCATCCATCCCACACTCATACATGTAGCATATAGCCAACCATGCATCATCCATCCCACACTCATACCTGTAGAATATAGCCAACCATGCATCATCCATCCCACACTCATACATGTAGAATATAGCCAATCATGCACCATCCATCCCACACTCATACATGTAGAATATACCTGTAGAATATAGCCAACCATGCATCATCCATCCCACACTCATACATGTAGCATATAGCCAATCATGCATCATCCATCCCACACTCACATGTAGCATATAGCCAATCATGCACCATCCATCCCACACTCATACATGTAGCATATAGCCAATCATGCACCATCCATCCCACACTCATACATGTAGAATATAGCCAATCATGCACTCATCCATCCCACACATCATACATGTAGCATATAGCCAATCATGCACCATCCATCCCACACACTCATACATGTAGCATATAGCCAATCATGCACCATCCATCCCACACTCATACATGTAGAATATAGCCAATCATACATCATCCATCCCACACTCATACATGTAGCATATAGCAAATCATGCACCATCCATCCCACACTCATACATGTAGCATATAGCCAATCATGCACCATCCATCCCACACTCATACATGTAGCATATAGCCAATCATGCACCATCCATCCCACACTCATACATGTAGAATATAGCCAATCATGCACCATCCATCCCACACTCATACATGTAGAATATAGCCAATCATGCACCATCCATCCCACACTCATACATGTACCATATAGCCAATCATGCATCATCCATCCCACACTCATACATGTAGAATATAGCCAATCATGAACCATCCATCCCACACTCATACATGTAGCATATAGCCAATCATGAACCATCCATCCCACACTCATACATGTAGAATATAGCCAATCATGCACCATCCATCCCACACTCATACCTGTAGCATATAGCCAATCATGCATCATCCATCCCACACTCATACATGTAGCATATAGCCAATCATGCACCATCCATCCCACACTCATACATGTAGAATATAGCCAATCATGCACCATCCATCCCACACTCATACATGTAGCATATAGCCAATCATGCACCATCCATCCCACACTCATACATGTAGCATATAGCCAATCATGCACCATCCATCCCACACTCATACATGTAGCATATAGCCAATCATGCACCATCCATCCCACACTCATACATGTAGCATATAGCCAATCATGCACCATCCATCCCACACTCATACATGTAGAATATAGCCAATCATGCATGCACCATCCATCCCACACTCATACATGTAGAATATAGCCAATCATGCATCATCCATCCCACACTCATACATCCATCCCACACTCATACATGTAGCATATAGCCAATCATGCATCATCCATCCCACACTCATACATGTAGAATATAGCCAATCATGCATCATCCATCCCATACTCATACATGTAGCATATAGCCAATCATGCACCATCCATCCCACACTCATACATGTAGAATATAGCCAATCATGCACCATCCATCCCACACTCATACCTGTAGCATATAGCCAATCATGCACCATCCATCCCACACTCATACCTGTAGCATATAGCCAACCATGCACCATCCATCCCACACTCATACATGTAGCATATAGCCAATCATGCATCATCCATCCCACACTCATACATGTAGAATATAGCCAATCATGCACCATCCATCCCACACTCATACCTGTAGCATATAGCCAATCATGCATCATCCATCCCACACTCATACATGTAGCATATAGCCAATCATGCACCATCCATCCCACACTCATACATGTAGAATATAGCCAATCATGCACCATCCATCCCACACTTATACCTGTAGAATATAGCCAATCATGCACCATCCATCCCACACTCATACATGTAGAATATAGCCAATCATGCACCATCCATCCCACACTCATACATGAAGAATATAGCCAATCATGCATCATCCATCCCACACTCATACATGAAGAATATAGCCAATCATGCACCATCCATCCCACACTCATACATGTAGAATATAGCCAATCATGCATCATCCATCCCACACTCATACATGAAGAATATAGCCAATCATGCATCATCCATCCCACACTCATACATGTAGCATATAGCAAATCATGCACCATCCATCCCACACTCATACATGTAGAATATAGCCAATCATGCACCATCCATCCCACACTCATACATGTAGAATATAGCCAATCACGCACCATCCATCCCACACTCATACATGTAGAATATAGCCAATCACGCACCATCCATCCCACACTCATACATGTAGAATATAGCCAATCATGCACCAATCCATTCCACACCTCATACATGTAGAATATAGCCAATCATGCACCATCCATCCCACACTCCACATGTAGAATATAGCCAATCATGCACCATCCATCCCACACCCAAGCATGTAGTAGAATATAGCCAATCATGCATCATCCATCCCACACCTCATACATGTAGCATATAGCCAATCATGCACCATCCATCCCACACCTCATACATGGTAGAATATAGCCAATCATGCACCATCCATCCCACACTCATACATGTAGCATATAGCCAATCATGCATCATCCATGTAGCATATAGCCAATCATGCATCATCCATCCCACACCATACATGTAGAATATAGCCAATCATGCACCATCCATCCTGCACACTCATACATGTAGAATATAGCCAATCATGCATCATCCATCCCACACTCATACATGTAGAATATAGCCAATCATGCATCATCCATCCCACACTCATACATGTAGCATATAGCCAATCATGCATCATCCATCCCACACTCATACATGTAGAATATAGCCAATCATGCACCATCCTTCCCACACTCATACATGTAGAATATAGCCAATCATGCACCATCCATCCCACACTCATACATGTAGAATATAGCCAATCATGCACCATCTCCCACACTCATACATGTAGAATATAGCCAATCATGCATCATCCATCCCACACTCATACATGTAGAATATAGCCAATCATGCACCATCTCCCACACTCATACATGTAGCATATAGCCAATCATGCACCATCCATCCCACACTCATACATGTAGCATATAGCCAATCATGCATCATCCATGTAGCATATAGCCAATCATGCATCATCCATCCCACACTCATACCTGTAGAATATAGCCAATCATGGATCATCCATCCCACACTCATACATGTAGCATATAGCCAATCATGCACCATCCATCCCACACTCATACATGTAGAATATAGCCAATCATGCACCATCCATCCCACACTCATACCTGTAGCATATAGCCAATCATGCATCATCCATCCCACACTCATACATGTAGCATATAGCCAATCATGCACCATCCATCCCACACTCATACCTGTAGCATATAGCCAACCATGCACCATCCATCCCACACTCATACATGTAGCATATAGCCAATCATGCATCATCCATCCCACACTCATACATGTAGAATATAGCCAATCATGCACCATCCATCCCACACTCATACCTGTAGCATATAGCCAACCATGCACCATCCATCCCACACTCATACATGTAGCATATAGCCAACCATGCACCATCCATCCCACACTCATACATGTAGAATATAGCCAATCATGCATCATCCATCCCACACTCATACATGTAGAATATAGCCAACCATGCACC